TGACCTCCTTCTACCACAGACCATGCAACAGTTTTCCCCCTGACCTCCTTCTTCCACAGACCATGCCACAGTTTCCTTCAGGTCTACTTCTACCACAGACCATACAACAGTTTTCCTCCTGACCTCCTTCTACCACAGACCGTGCCACAGTTTCGTTCTGATCTACTTCTACCACAGACCATGCCACAGTTTCCTTCAGATCTACTTCTACCACAGACCATACTACAGTTTTCCTCCTGACCTCCTTCTACCACAGACCGTGCCACAGTTTCGTTCTGATCTACTTCTACCACAGACCGTGCCACAGTTTCCCTACTGACCTCCTTCTACCACAGACTATGCAACGGTTTCCCTACTGACCTCCTTCTACCACAGACTATGCCACGGTTTCCCTCCTGACCTCCTTCTACCACAGAACGCGCCACAGTTTCCTTCTGATCTACTTCTACCACAGACCGTGCCACAGTTTCCCTCCTGACCTCCTTCTACCACAGACCGTGCCACAGTTTCCTTCTGATCTACCTCTACCACAGACCGTGCCACAGTTTCCCTACTGACCTCCTTCTACCACAGACCATGCCACAGATTCCTTCTGATCTACTTCTACCACAGACCATGCTACAGTTTCATTCTGATCTACTTCTACCACAGACCATGCCACAGTTTCCTTCTGATCTACTTTTACCACAGACCATGCCACAGTTTCCCTCCTGACCTCCTTCTGAACGACTGCACATATATAACTAAATTCACAAATTAATCCAACGACACGAGGTGCTCTCCTACATGTTGCAGTTTGTGTTGAGGAAGAAATCAGTCAAGAAATTTGAAATTATTTTTCTCTCAGTAGGTGGCTAATGTTGGCTAATTGTGTTAGATATTGAACACCAATTTCATCTAACATTTGGTGTTAAATTACATTATTTATTCGTCTGAACAGTGCCAGTTTCGCATTCTGTCTGTCATGCACAACCTTCAAGCTCTAGTTTTCCAGGGGCGGTCGGGTAGCCTAGTGGTTAAAGCGTTCGCTCGTCACGCCGAAGACCCGGGTTCGATTCCCGACATGGGTACAATGTGTGAAGCCCACTTCTGGTGTCCCCCGCCGTGATATTGCTGGAATATTGCTAAAAGCGGCGTAAAACCATACTCACTCACTCACTCTAGTTTTCCAAGGCAGTTGTTGAAGTTAATAACGGGGATTCTTTCGTTACTGTCTGATTTGTACAGCTTCAGCATGGGATCAGTGCGAAATGTGGATTATAATTGTTTTGTCACCATGTTGTCTTTGTGTGTGTTTAAGGCTTGATTGGAATGACTGGAAGGACAATAAAAGAACTGGCAGCTTTACTGAAATGTACAATTTGATTGACACGCGGAGACATCTCGCTGCCACTGAGGGCTGCCTGTTGATTTCAGTTCCTGTTATAAAGTAATCAACATGAGATATGTATCATTGACAATTGTAAAATACATCTGGTTACAAACCTCACCGGAGACGTCGTATGTCGATACAGCCCGTGCTTTGTTGAACTATTTCTCTGTCAGTAACATCACATTATGACATGACACCTGAGTGTAGCTTTGGCAGTGACGATACATTCTGAAATGTTTGAGCCTTGAGTGTAGGTTTGACAGTGACGATACATTCTGACATGTTTTGTTTGACACTTGAGTGTAGCTTTGGCAGTGACGATACATTCTGACATGTTTGACACTTGAGTGTAGCTTTGGTAGTGACGTTACATTCTGAAATGTTTGTCACTTGAATATAGGTTTGACAGTGATTATACAATCTGACATGTTTGACACTAGAGTGTAACTTTGGCAGTGACGATACATTCTGAAATGTTTGACCCTTGAGTGTAGGTTTGACAGTGACGATACATTCTGACACGTTTGACACTTGAGTGTAGCTTTGGCCGTGACGGCGCATCATGACATGTATGAAACTTGAGTGTAGGACTGACAGTGACGACACATTAATACATGCGTTGCACTTGAGTGTAGGTTTGACAGTGATGCACATTAAGATATGTATGTCACTTGCTTTTATGTTTCTCAGTGCATCACTGTCGCATTTGTAAAACGGGTTTAATTTGGTGTTTTATTCCCGGCACAATGATTAATGTGTTGAATGAGGAGTGGGATACACCGTCAAGAGAAGTCCCAAGAGTGGACCCTCACTCTCGCTCTTATGGTGGTGTATGGGCATGTGGGAGGTGAATGTCAGTGGCTGCCGAATGCAAGAACAGCTCTCGTGTCATTGGCACTTACTGGCATATGCGTTTCCACAGCCTTGCTACATTTCTACAGCAAACTACAACCAATCTGCATTATCATTAAGGGGGATCCAGTTATGCCGGTGCCTGGCCACACCCACATCTCCTGCAGGCCCGGCCACGCATGCAGTTATGGCATGACGCACGGCAATACAGAAGAGGCCGGGGTTAGTTCGAGGTTGTAGCGGGCAACCGTGGTTATAATTCCTATCTGGACCAGTCAGCTGAGACTAGCATTTTCCATTATGAAATAGGATGAACTCCCTGGAGAAATTAAGCCCATGACGTGGTCCTTCCATTTAACTATACACCCAACGCACATCAAAATATTTACTACTGTGTGCTTGGTCGGACACACACACACACACACACACACACACACACACACACACACACACACACACACACACACACACACACACACACACACACACACACACACACACACACTATTAGAAACTGCTGTTCTATCGTGACTGTAACAATCACTGTGTACTTATACCACTATTAGACACCGCTGCTCTATCGCGACTGTAACAATCGCTGTATACTGAATACACTACAAGAAACTGCTGTGCAATTGTGACTGTAACAATCACTGTATACTGATACCACTATTAGAAACTGCTGCTATATCGTGACTTTAACAGTCCTTGTATGATGCTACCAATATTAGAAGCTGTTGCAAGATCGTGACCGTAACAATCACTGTATACTGATACCACTATTAGAAACTATTGCTCTTTCGTGACGTTAACAGCCGTTGTATGATGCTACCAATATAAGAAACTGCTGCTCTATCGCGACTGTGACAATCAATGTATGATGCTACCAGTATAAGAAACTGCCGCTCCATCGCGACTGTAATAACCACTGTATGATGCTTCCACTATAAACAAAACTGCTGCTCTATCGCGACCGTAACAATCACTGTATGATGCTACCATTATGAACAAAACTGCTGCTCTATCGCGACCGTAACAATCACTGTATGATGCTACCACTATAAACAAAACAGCTGCTCTATCGCGACTGTAACAATCACTGTATGATGCTACCACTATAAACAAAACTGCTGCTCTATCGCGACCGTAACAATCACTGTATGATGCTACCACTATAAACAAAACTGCTGCTCTATCGCGACTGTAACAATCACTGTATGATGCTACCACTATAAACAAAACTGCTGCTCTATCGCGACTGTAACAATCACTGTATGATGCTACCACTATAAACAAAACTGCTGCTCTATCGCGACTGTAACAATCACTGTATGATGCTACCACTATAAACAAAACTGCTGCTCTATCGCGACTGTAACAATCACTGTATGACGCTACCACTATAAACAAAACTGCTGCTCTATCGCGACTGTAACAATCACTGTATGATGCTACCACTATAAACAAAACTGCTGCTCTATCGCGACTGTAACAATCACTGCATGATGCTACCACTATAAACAAAACTGCTGCTCTATCGCGACTGTAACAATCACTGTATGATGCTACCACTATAAACAAAACTGCTGCTCTATCGCGACTGTAACAATCACTGCATGATGCTACCACTATAAACAAAACTGCTGCTCTATCGCGACTGTAACAATCACTGCATGATGCTACCACTATAAACAAAACTGCTGCTCTATCGCGACTGTAACAATCACTGTATGATGCTACCACTATAAACAAAACTGCTGCTCTATCGCGACTGTAACAATCACTGTATGATGCTACCACTATAAGAAACTGCTTGTATCGAAACCGTAACAATCGTTATATGGTGCAACCACTATTAGAAACTGCTGCTCTATCGCGACCGTAACAATCACTGTATGATGCTACCACTGTAAGAAACTGCTGCTCTATCGCGACTGTAACAATCACTGTATGATGCTACCACTATAAGAAACTGCTGCTCTATCGCGACTGTAACAATCACTGTATGATGCTACCACTATAAGAAACTGCTGCTCTATCGCGACTGTAACAATCACTGCATGATGCTACCACTATAAGAAACTGCTGTTCTATCGCGACCGTAACAATCACTGCATGATGCTACCACTATAAGAAACTGCTGTTCTATCGCGACCGTAACAATCACTGTATGATGCTACCACTATAAGAAACTGCTTGTATCGTAACCGTAACAATCGTTATATGGTGCAACCACTATTAGAAACTGCTGCTCTATCGCGACTGTAACAATCACTGTATGATGCTACCACTATAAGAAACTGCTGTTCTATCGCGACCGTAACAATCACTGTATGATGCTACCACTATTAGAAACTGCTTGTCTATCGCGACTGTAACAATTTACTGTTGTGTCTTACCGTTCCTGGACCCTGGAAAATGAACCATACAGACAAATAGATAGATCAATCGTAGGGGGTACTTGGAACTGACATCAAAACTCTCTCCAATGTTGTAAACAGTGTCATCACACAAACACAATCTCTTTTCATGTATGTGACCTGGCGAACATAAGTCACACTGTCAGATGTTAGGTAACACCGCGTTACAGTCTCACCACATTGGTGTCTAGGTCGACCCTAAATTGGGTAGTGTCGTCAAACATGTAACATCCCAGCTGTGCCGCACTCCCGCCGACCAGGTGAGTGTCAGGGGTCCTGTGCGGAGGCAGTGTAGTAGGATGTAGTGATGCGAAGATCGGTCAAGTATACGACGTTTTACTGCACTTTGTTGACAGATTTCGTCTGAATCGGCATCGGTTGACTGCGATTGAGGATTATTATTGTGAGTGAGCAGAGCTATCTGGGGTAGTAGGAGTGCGGGTACACGCTCACAGGTGAGTACATACAAAATGTTTTACACACACGGATGTTAGCATCATATCTTTCTGACAGAGAAAGCTAAATACCAAGCAGAATGGTATGGAGGGTGTTGTAATCGGTCGAGTCATATAATATAAATAAATTACCTAAATGATACTCACATGCTACTTAAGTTTCGTAAAGGGTTGGGCAAACTCTTCCACGTATGTAGTGTAATAGTGGAGACTTAATACTGTCGTTCTCATTGTGATTTCATATTGATCGGTATTCGTACTTGTTGCTAATTACTTCATTTGTTTTACTTACTACCTATCTCTTTCACTTCAATTGCCATAACATTTTCAGTAGCCCTGTCACACACTTGTCAATAGATGATACACCTGTATGTAGTCTCACGTTCTACCATGGAGCGTCTAACATGCAGATGACCTGACTATACCATGATGGGAATATTAATGTGTGCCAGGTAGAGGCAGGTGTAATAGATGAACGTGTACCGAGATAGGAATATTGCTGTGTGCCAGGCACATGTACCGTGATGGGAATATTGGTGTGTGCCAGGTACAGGCAGGTGTAGTAAATGAACATGTACCGTGATGGGAATATTGCTTTGTGCCAGGCACATGTACCGTGATGGGAATATTGCTGTGTACCAGGTACAGGCAGGTGTAGTAGATGAACATGTACCGTGATGGGAATATTGCTTTGTGCCAGGCACATGTACCGTGATGGGAATATTGGTGTGTGCCAGGTACCGGCAGGTGTAGTAAATGAACATGTACCGTGATGGGAATATTGCTTTGTGCCAGGCACATGTACCGTGATGGGAACATTACTGTGTGCCAGGTACAGGCAGGTGTAGTAGATGGACATGTACCGTGATGGGAATATTGCTGTGTGCCAGGTACCGGCAGGTGTAATAGATGAGCATGTACCGTGATGGGAATATTGCTGTGTACCAGGTACCGGCAGGTGTAATAGATGAGCATGTACCGTGATGGGAATATTGCTGTGTACCAGGCACATGTAGCGTGATGGGAATATTGCTGTGTGCCGGATACAGGCAGGTGTAGTAGATGAACATGTACCGTGATGGGAATATTGCTGTGTACCAGGCACATGTAGCGTGATGGGAATATTGCTGTATACCAGGTAAAGGCAGGTGCAGTAGATGAACATGTACCGTGATGGGAATATTGCTGTGTGCCAGGTACATGTACCATGATGGGAATATTGCTGTGTGCCAGGTACAGTCAGGTGTAGTAGATGAGCATGTACCGTGATGGGAATATTGCTGTGTGCCAGGTACATGTACCGTGATGGGAACATTGCTGTGTACCAGGTACAGGCAGGTGTAGTAGATGAGCATGTACCGTGATGGGAATATTGCTGTGTGCCAGGTACATGTACCGTGATGGGAATATTACTGTGTGCCAGGCACATGTACCGTGATGGGAATATTAATGTGTGCCAGGTACAGGCAGCTGAGTAGATGATCATGTACCGTGATGGGAATATTGCTGTGTGCCAGGCACATGTACCGTGATGGGAATATTGCTGTGTGCCAGGTACCGGCAGGTTTAATAGATGAACATGTACCGTGATTCTTGTTGCTGGAGTGGACCCGTATATTGCTATGTTATTCTACCGATTAACATTTTACAGCCAATAATGGAGAAATGAAGGTTGGCACAGCTGTACTCTGGCCGTATACCGCCTTCAGTATACAATATCTTCTGCTTCATCTCCAGCCATTCATCTTCTCTATCTGAATCCATACGACGAGCAATTGATATGTTTATGTCTGCGAGTTACTTTAATGTTTGACTAGAAAATGATTGGCTTCGTTTTTGGCCCCTGCCTGGAATGTCGGCGACAGTGAGCGACCAGTATGTGCTGCTGACAGGAAGCACCCGAATGTATAGGCTACCAGCTCCGCTAACCTAATTTGTATCGGAGTTGGAACTCCACTCATATATGTGTGATTTGTGAGGGTACGGCAGGGATTTCCGCTCACCATGTCCGTGTCATATATGTTGTGTAATTGAGGTTATGTAAAATTCTGGACTATTGATGTTGAAGTTGGGTGGTACGGCATCAAATGTAAGTAATGCAATAACACTCGCTTGTCACGCTCGTAAAAGGATCCTGCAATATGTAATATGATTGAAATCAACATTGTATCGAGACACCAGCTGCCACCAGTGACAGGGAGGGTGTACGGTGACGGCGCTATATATCTCTTCCATAGAATCATGGTTGTGATACGCAGACATACACTGTATACAGTTTGTTTTGTGTCATCAAACCATTTCAGCGACTTTAATGACGGAATTTTGCATACCAGAGAACACGTCGTAATATATTATTCATTCTAAGTAAACATATCTATTAAGTAAACATAAGTCCACACAGAATTTAAATAAGCGTTTATACAAAAGAGTTTGAACAAGATAGTCCGCTCAGTAGTTACCAAGGACAGCAGGAGGCAACATAATTTCTGCTGGTTGTTAACATGACAGGAGGAAGGATAACTGTATCCAGGACAGGAGTCCTGATGTGTCATGATGACAGGTGCCCTCCCGACGGGTGTTATGTTCCAGCTCAATAACCCTCCCGACGGGTGTTATGTTCTAGCCAAATCACCCGCCATACGGGTGTTATGTTGTAGCTCAACAACCTTCCCGACGGGTGTTATGTTCTAGCTCAATAACCCGCCAGACGGGTATTATGTTCCAGCTCAATAACCCTTCCGACGGGTGTTATGATCTAGCCCATTAACCCGCCATACGGGTGTTATATTGTAGCTCAACAACCCTCCCGACGGATGTTATGATCTAGCCCAATAACCTTCCCGACGGGTGTTATGTTCTAGCCCAATAACCCGCCAGACGGGTGTTATGTTCCAGCTCAATAACCCTCCCGACGGGTGTTATTATCTAGCCCAATAACCCTCCCGACGGATGTTATGATCAAGCCCAATAACCCTCCCGACGGGTGTTATGCTCTAGCCCAATAACCCGCCAGACGGGTGTTATGTTGTAGCCCAATAAACCCTCCCGAGGGGTGTTATGTTCTAGCCCAATAACCCGCCAGACGGGTGTTATGTTGTAGCTCAATAACCCTCCCGAAGGGTGTTATGTTCTAGCCCAATAACCCGCCAGACGGGTGTTATGTTGTAGCTCAATAACCCGCCATACGGGTATTATGTTGTAGCTCAATAACCCTCCCGACGGGTGTAATGTTCTAGCCTATTAACCCTCCCGAAGGGTGTTATGTTCTGACCCAATAACCCGCCAGCCGGGTGTTATGTTGTAGCCCAATAAACCCTCCCGAGGGGTGTTATGTTCTAGCCCAATAACCCGCCAGACGGGCGTTATGTTGTAGCTCAATAACCCGCCATACGGGTGGTATGTTTTAACTCAATAACCCTCCCAACGGGTGTTATGATCTAGCCCAATAACCCTCCCGACGGGTGTTATGTTCTATCTCAATAACCCGCCAGACGGGTGTTATGTTGTAGCCCAATAACCCTCCCGACGGGTGTAATGTTCTAGCCCAATAACCCTCCCGACGGGTGTTATGTTGTAGCTCAATAACACTCCCGACGGGTGTTATGTTCTAGCCAAAAAAACCGCCATACGGGTGTTATGTTGTAGCTCAATAACCCTCCCGACGGGTGTTATGTTCTAGCCAATTAACCCTCCCGAAGGGTGTTATGTTCTAGCCCAATAACCCTCCCGACGGGTGTTATGTTCCAGCTCAATAACCCTCCTGACGGGTGTTATGTTGTAGCTCAATAACCCTCCCGACGGGTGTTATGTTCTATCTCAATAACCCGCCAGACGGGTGTTATGTTCTAGCTCAATAACCCGCCCGACGGGTACCACGCTATAACTCAATGACCCGCCCGACGGGTGCCTTGTTATGTTCTAGCCCAAAACCCCTCCCGACAGGTGTTATGTGCTATCTCAATAACCCGCCAGACGGGTGTTATGTTCTAGCTCAATAACCCGCCCGACGGGTGCCACGCTGTAACTCAATGACCCGCCCGACGGGTGCCTTGTTATGTTCTAGCCCAATAACCCGCCAGACGGGTGTTATGTTCCAGCTCAATAACACTCCCGACGGGTGTTATGTTCTAGCCAAATATCCCGCCAGACGGCTGTTATGATCTAGCCAAATAACCCTCCCGACGGGTGTTATGTTCTAGCCCAATAACCCGCCAGACGGGTGTTATGTTCTAGCTCAATAACCCTCCCGACGGGTGTTATGTTCGAGCTCAATAACCCCCCCGACGGGTGTTGTGTTCCAGCTGAATAACCCTCCCGACGGGTGTTATGTTCTAGCCAAATATCCCGCCAGACGGCTGCTATGATCTAGCCAAATAACCCTCCCGACGGGTGTTATGTTCTAGCCAAATATCCCGCCAGACGGCTGTTATGATCTAGCCAAATAACCCTCCCGACGGGTGTTATGTTCTAGCCCAATAACCCGCCAGACGGGTGTTATGTTCTAGCTCAATAACCCTCCCGACGGGTGTTATGTTCGAGCTCAATAACCCCCCCGACGGGTGTTATGTTCCAGCTGAATAACCCTCCCGACGGGTGTTATGTTCTAGCCCAATAACCCGCCAGACGGGTGTTATGTTCTAGCCCAATAACCCGCCAGACGGGTGTTATGTTCCAGCTCAATAACACTCCCGACGGGTGTTATGTTCTAGCCAAATATCCCGCCAGACGGCTGTTATGATCTAGCCAAATAACCCTCCCGACGGGTGTTATGTTCTAGCCCAATAACCCGCCAGACGGGTGTTATGTTCTAGCTCAATAACCCTCCCGACGGGTGTTATGTTCCAGCTCAATAACCCTCCCGACGGGTGTTATGTTCTAGCCAAATATCCCGCCAGACGGCTGCTATGATCTAGCCCAATAACCCTCCCGACGGGTGTTTTGTTCTAGCCCAATAACCCGCCAGACGGGTGTTATGTTCTAGCTCAATAACCCGCCCGACG